AGAGCATTTAATCGCACCTTTTCTAATGCAACAATGGAACCTTATCAAAGTTACAGCTGATAGTAAAATTGATGCAAAGCATTAAATCGACAACGAAAAAATATTTAGCATTTAAAAGTATTTCCCCAAGATAAAGTCCAAAAAAATAATTCCAAATAGAAAAAGTAAAAGATATAACACTTTTATTGCAAAACTGCCTTACTTTTCTGTGCATTTTTATACTTTTATTTTCAGTGAGCAATTGTTAAATATAAATCAAAATAAATAAAATCTTGAAAATGAATATTGGACTGAGATATAGGATTTGAATATGTTATCATCAAATTATTTGATTCAAAGACAAATGCAACAAATATCTGAAAGTAGTAATTATGAACATATGAATGCTGACAAAAGAACTTACAAACTTCACGTGCAGATAAATGAGAGACAATTTATTTTTTGTGGTATCCCTGAAAAAAGAAACGAAAACTTTGAGGCACTGTTGGATAAGCTGAAAATCTACGACTATATCTCATTCGAGAGAGTACACAGAATGGGAAAATACGACGAATTCAATATAAAAAATCAACCAGAGAGCTACAGTGCCACTCATTGAAAAAAGTGTATACTAGTCGGTCGATTTGCGCTGGCTTATATTGGCATTGGGCTCGATTGTCGTGACGTCACAACAAAGTGAAAATACCCGCCAATTGCCTCTTCTATATTCAATTTAACAAGGTTGCCAGTCGATAAAAAAGATCTTTCGAATCTATTTTCTGTTTGTATTTTATATATAATGGTCAGTGTGCGCCAAAGTTGTTGACAGAAATTGAGGAGTACCGGTTGATGTATGTGTTACAAACTTGCTGGTCAAAGATGGACAGAGAATGAAATCTATTTTATATCGGGTTGAAAAAATAAAGATCACTTTCAAATTACTTGCATGTTTTGAAAAGTTTCGTAAACAGATTTAGAAAAGTGTCATTAGACGTTTTAGTCTCAAACTTCATGGAAAAAAGATTAACCCAACTACCTACCATCTAAAGCAGAGAACTGTCATTTCAAGATACAGTGTGGTACATGAGCTAAAATAAAATAATGCTTTCTGATATTGCTTGTTTGTGATACAAGAGATGCAATTTTAATCTAAAAAATCAAGGGCCAGGTAACTATTTAAGTATTGTCCTAAAAGCCAAAAGTTTGTTTAAATAAAATCAACACTACGATTAGCAAACTAGACAACAAAGTGTAGCAGAATGGCATATGATGACAACTTTAGGAAGTCGAGAACACAGGGATATGTATAATTTAATGTCGCTGATAACACTTGGAAAGAATGAATAAGGAATTCCATTGAAATTGGATTCTTCTGTAAAATGAATAAAATGAAATATGTGAAATATATGAAATGAAATTTAAAATGGAATGAAAGATGAAATATGGAGATAACAAACAGTATTCAGGTCCAAAGTCCATATAAATAATCGAAATCGGGAGCAGAGCAAACATTGATCTCTAAAAACATCAGAGGTGGGATGAGGTGCCATGGAGGAGTGAGCATCCCCAGCCGACCGGTCACACCCGCCGTGTGCTCCTTGTCATGATCGGGAAAATCGGTAAAAAACTGTAGACAATCAGTGTGTAAATAATGGCCTACCAATTTGTGTGTAAAACGTCAGTCAGCATTTGACTTAATGGTAGGTTGTATTTGCTGACAAGGTCATTGTATTGACCAAAATAATTTAGGACCTGAAACAAGGGAAAAAATCACAATATGAAATATCATCATAAAATGTCAAAGTAACAGCATATGCTGTCAAAGTGTCATCATGCGTCTAATGAATAGGTTTCTGCATACACATGTATAATGTCAAGGTATTAGCAAAAATAAAGAAGTATCGGTGAAAAAAGACAAATCTCTCCAAATAATGAAGTATCCGCTTACTATGTCAAGTATCTGCAAAAATAAAGACGATTCATCAGGTAATGTCAAAGTATCATAGTGTATTGAAGATGTGTCAGCGTAAAATGACAAAGTAATAGATAAAGGAAAAGTATAAGAACAAGATAAACAAAATAAGAACAAAATAAAGAACTGTAAGTACGTTTTATCAGTCTAATGATATTTTAAAGAAGTTTCAGCATATTGTGTCAAAACATCATCATTCAATGAAGAAGTATCAGCATTTCAAGACAAACTATCATCCTAAAGTGAAGACGAACTTTTTTATTTGCGAGAACTTTATCTTGACTTAAATACGCAAGACTGCCTCCTAGCGAATTTCATTCTAGCGCTATTTTATAATGAAAGATTGTATACAGCAATATCTAAAATTCGTGAAATTTCCATCCCACATATAAATACAAATTAGTTTCTCGCGAAAATCAGGTGTCGCAAAAATTTGGTGATCGACAGCATCAATATATAAAGGCAAAGTATAATCATAAAATGATGAAGCTACAAAGAAGTATTCCTGCTGAAATTTTAATTAAGAGAAAGAAATGATTTTTTTTTTCTTGTGGAAAAAGTACGTGTGCAGTACGACAGATAATGTTGCACTAAATATGTCAAGAAAAAATAACGTTCTCTTGTCCTTTTTCGACCAATCAGTGGGATATCAATAAGAAAGGTCGACAAAAATAAGCAGTTTTTGATTCTCTAAAATATCTTTAAAGTAGAAATGTCTCGAAGAAGAACTGATCGTTTTCCGCACATGGGTGAATTCAATAAAGGGTTTTTGAGTGATGAGAACCACAATGTCGACATACGGAGAAAGGTTCCAGCGCCCAGTGAATAAAAAGTAAAATATTCAAGGACAAATAAGATGACAATTAAAACATAGTCTTGATGGAAAAGTATAATTTTTTTGTCACAGTTCTAATTGAAAAAACCTCAAAATAGGGGTGCAACGATACACTAACCTCACGATACGATACGTATCACGGTATTCAGTTCACGATACGATACGTATCACGATACATAACGGTTAAAAAGTCTTTCAAGTTTGTCGTCATATTTTTTTTAAACTTGACAGGGTTATACAAATTGTTCATATTTTAAAATTATGATTAAAATAAAATTTTGTTATCTTGAATTGGATTGTTAGATAGATCTTTGAGTTGTGTCAACATTCTAAACCAATGCATATGATGAACATTTACAGGGAACTACGTGGACCTTTCCTAATAATCTTCCTTTTAAATTGGAATGAAAAAGGAAGACATTCATTCTTTTATTCCTTTTATTTACGTAGAAAAGCAGTTGTCATACTTCTCGTGTTAATACGTTTTAGTCAACAAGACAGCGAATTTTCATCGAAATACACACGTGATGGAATATCGTGTATTACCAAAGAATACGTTTAGATATAAAGGGTTTATCATTTGTCTTCACATCTATAACTTATAATCACATTAAGTCCCTCTCCGTGTTAAATCTGAGGTCTGTGCTGGAGATGAGTTTAACTGCTGTAAATGCATTATCGGCTACCTCACGTTTTGCGCGGAAGCCATTTTGAAATAATAAAGAAGGAAATAAAACGGATTATTCTGGACCGATTGAACCGAACCGCGATATCAGTTTAGCGTATCGTGAATTGAACCGTGGAAAAATATACCGCGATATACCGTCAAACGGTTTATCGTTGCACCCTTACCTCAAAAACTCCATACTTCTAAGGCACGAGAATTTATGTATCTGTAATTGTAATATTGAATATGACATCAAGAAAAAAAATTTACAATGGTCTGCCTTCTGTTATAAGTGTTCTTTGGAGATACATAACCAGCATCTCCCTAGTACTAGTAAAAAACCGGAAGACTCTTCTTGTTGTTGCTGTTCTCGTGATGACACTCCATTCAATTGGACAAAAATTTGCAAATATTTCGCCAAAATTTTGCCAACATTGCATAGAAGAATATTTCTTTTGCATTTTACGTGGTTGAAATGCCTTTCGAGAAAAGGGTAAGTAAAAAGATAGTATATAAAAGATAACATTGTTTGTATAAAGTTTACTAGCAGATTTAAAACCGTCACTGTAGTTCAGTCGGTAGAGCGTTCGCTCAGTGATCGGAAGGTTCTGGGTTTAAACCCCGGCTGCGACTGACCAAAGCCGATACAAAATTAGTAGCAACTGTTCCTTCGCCTAGCGATCGGCAGTTTGAAGTGTAAGTTGCGGTTCTTTCATATGAGACCTTAAAATCCGAGACTCTGCTCATTGGACCTGAGTGCAGAGTCAAGATCTAAATTTGAAGCCCTTCACCTGTGTAAGTCGACGTCTCTATATGAGTGAAATATTCTCGAATGGGACGTAAAACAACATACAATCAATTAATCAATAGAGATTTAATAATAATTAAGGAAAAATAGAATGTCCAACTAAAAGTTTGATTATTTACTGTGTTACTTTTCTCTAGCAAAATAGCCAAAGAAATAAAAGAATAACCACGCACATCTTTTACATTTTGTTTTCTGTCTTTTCTAACTTGTCATAACTTTAAGATTATAACGGATATACCCTAATTTAGAAACGAGTTGACTTTTAAAGTACTTTTATGTAGGCATTTTAAGTTCTGTATTGCCAACTGGTTTTAAAATTAATCGGTATTTGGATCTAAAAGAAGGTTAAAACAAATATTGCAAGTTAGCTTTACTTCAATTCTATTTAATAAACCCCGGTCATAAATATGAAGAACAACTTCCGTCTAGAAACAAAGTTTTCCATCCTTATTCAATTTCATATTTGTTTCAAGATTTGTATATTGGGGGAAATATATTTTTGCGGGGGGGGGGGTTACACTGGGATTACACTGCAATTATGTCAAGTATAAGAGATAAACAATCTTTATTTTACGCAATGTAACTCCTCAACTCCTCAACTAAAAGATAACATTATCTAGGATGTTCAGATCATTACTAAGAATTTGACTTACACTGCTAGATCGTGTACAAAAACATCGTAACAAATACAAGTGCAGTACCTGCAATATACAAAGGTCTTATAAAGTTTACAAAAATGGATCGTCAAAGTGGAGGAGATATAGAAATGGGTGTGATGAATAGGGGATATTCTCATGATGAGGATCAAGATTCCAGTGAGAGGGGGCGTGCTTTGGACCAAGAGGAGATAAAAACACCAAGAAACGTCTGCTGGTATACATTCACTCGTGTTTTGTCAGCGCTTTTGATAATTGGGAACGTCATTTTGGACTGGCTCCAGTATGCTGACATTGAGGATCCAATCACAGATATCACGGACAAACTTTCCGATATCATTCACGGAAGTGCTTCATCAGAAGCAACGAGTACCAGTGACCCATTACCAAAAAACGCATCATACTGCACTGACGATTCTGTAAAAGATGAATTAACTAAAAAGTTCATGTATTTTTCCATTGCTGGCTCCGTTCTCTCCGCCCTCCAACTAGCCAAGATAATTTATCAGATAGTTTTGAACCATAAACGTGACCCAACAGAGCAAATACCAGACAAAATTGATGGCAAAGTTGAGGTCTTCTTCACAACACTGTTTGTGGAGATTCCACAAAACTACCTACTCCTTAAGTACGATAACATCATTTGTTTTAATTGTGAAATCGAGTGGAATGGAAAGAAAATCAAACGCTTTCTGAACGGTCTTAGCTCTGAACTAGCCAGTGTTTGGCGCTATATAACCAGTAGCAAATGTTGCGATGGAAGTGGAGGAGTTGTTAAGCGTCAAGTAAAACACAAAAAACACAGCGACTGCTGTTGCTGTAGTTGTTGTTGTGGTTGCTGCAGACTGTGTGGCACACTTTGCACTAGAATGTTTTGGTCCTGCGTGGAAGGTTGTTTTCCATGTGTCATTCTTTGTAGAGGGTGAGTACAAGTTTATATCGACTCATCAATCTTTGTGAATTTATATTAGGTGATATATATTTCAAGTTAACAATAATAAGCGACTGAAGAATTGTGTTTTAATTTGGTGGTCTATTCGAAACAGATCACTGATTAATAAAACAAGCTATGGACTTACGATTGGCTCAAAAAGACAGTAAAGTAGGGACGAAATTTTGATTAAATGCATTATATAAATAATCGTTTATTTTCGTTTGATTAAAAAACTAGAATACATTGAATACATTTTTTCCTGGATAAGGACAATGCATCCGTAATAAAAAAAAATACTTCCTCAAATTTACTTAATAAAGGAATCATCCTTGAATAATCTTTTCCCCTTTTATTTGATCTTTTCCCCTTTTATTTGAAACCCTGAGAGTTTAAGTGGTAACTTACAGATTAATAGTAGACAACATCATTGTTTATAGGAAGACCTGTCCTAAGATTTATCCGGTCCATAGAATGGACACAAAACCACTGGCTTGCAACGATGACTAGATGAAAGTGTAAAATACTGTATTATTGTTCCTTACGAGTCATGCAATAGGTTTAAGCCTTAAATAGTTACAGTTAGCTTTAAAAACTGGGTCTATGTGGAATCCGGCCATGTAGTTCACTATCGTACTATTTAGCATCGATTAAAGGGTCGATGGCGCGATAATGCGATTGGGCAATAACGATGAAGAAATGGTGCGATGACGATGATGCGATGGTGGTGCGATAGCACGATGGAACAATAGTGAACATTGCATCATCGTCATCGCGCTATCGCTTCATCGTCATCGCATTATCGATCCAAACTTCGATGGTGCGATGATGCGATAGTGAACTACACGGTCCTATCCGGATTCCTTAGATCTACATAGTTTAGAAATATATTGTACCTATTGCTTCAGATAACATCAAGAGAATTTCATAAGACGTTAAGGAGAAAATTCTGTGTGGTGTAAATATAAAACGGCAAACTAACTTTGGTTCAAATCTCAATTTCGCCTCAGACGGATCGCGCTTTACATCCCTAAATTTTTGGAAACGGATTTTATTAAACTTAATTATGAATTTTAGGCGAAATCTACTAAGATTGTTTTTCATAAAAAATAATCAGTTCATTTTCAAAATTAAATCAAAATCAAATGTTTCCATTTAGGTACGAAGGATGTCACTACATGACATGCAGCTACTTAACTTATAACAGCGGCTTCTTTTGGTGGAATTGCTGTCCGTGTGCCTGCTGCTACACGTGTTGTGAGGGTCCGAAATGTGGATCTTGTGGAGATTGCTTCAAACGTTGTGAAAATTGCTGCAAAAGTTGCGACAATTGTTGCAAATGTTTTGACAATTGTTGCAAATGTGACATGTCGTGTGGTCAGTGTTTGATGGAGTGTCTACTCAGCATTATTCGATTTTTCGGTGGAATAACTACGACATTATATACTGCTATGTATGTCTTACGTGTGCTGGAGTATTTCTGTGTGGTTCTCCCAACAGTCTTTGCCGAGGGATTTGTTCTTTTAATGGATACTGTGTTTGGTTGGATTTTAGACTGACATTATTATCGGCGTTCTTCTTTTTTTTTAATGACATATACTTGAAACATATTTATTTTCATGTACCGATTAGAACGATTTCACCAATTATAGAACATGGAGATCAGAGAAAATACAAATAATTATCTTACTTAATTGAAATTTGCGTGAAAGAGCATAGCAGGATAATCCCATAATGATGTGAAATTTTCCATGTGAAACTAATATCAGCGGTGGGAAACTATCACCGTGTGAAATTGACTGTTCTATTCATAATTCATTTTGGACTCTAAATGTTATATTTAATTTTTGTTTTAGTGTGATAATTCATATTATGAAATTTTTTGCTTTTAAAATTTGCATTTTACAAATCTTTCTCATGTTAAGTATTAAGTGTTCATATAATTACTGAGTGACACTTGTCGGCTGACAAAGGGGCAGAGTGTTAATGCCCAAGGACCTTTTAATCCCTTATACAAACATTATGTAATTATTTAACTTTCGGTGTTTTTTTTTTGGTCCATGCCATCAAATCATTTCAAATCATTTCATTTATTGTTACCTGTATCACTTTTACTCATAGTCAACACCTGTCATTTTTAACTCATTGTTCAATTCCTCTTAAATACCATTGTCAAATTTTACTTGTCAGTTCGGAGGCCGGGTGTACTACCGGCCACGTCCGACTAGTTCCCCATCATGTTTTAACAGTTTGGAGGCTATGGCCATAACCAACTGGTTACTGTTCATTGTTGTTCCATGTGAATCATTTCAATCGTTGGGACTTGTTAATAAATTCGGAAACCAGTTCCTCGTTACTTTGGACTTTTATAATATGTGTTTTCGGGAAGAGCCCTAGGAATACGGCTTTACTACTTCCGGCCCATAGCGCCACTCATTTCCGTGCCAACATTCCCTCTGCCCGACCAACAACACATCTTTTTAGACCCAAACTACGCGTTCATACTAATATGAAACTTTTTCTTCCTTCGTTGCACATAAAATGACAATGTAAGTTATGAATCTATTTCTTGAGGCAAAGAAACATTTTTTATTTACTCAAGTTTCTGCATATGGTGTAAAATCTAACTTTTAGATCGACCAGTCAGGGCTGTTATGGACTTAGCTATTTCTAAAGTAGATATAACACAGTCTTCATTATAGCCGAACAACGATTGGCAACAGCAAAACAGCGCCGTTAACTTATGTAACGTGTTTATCTGAAATACCACTATCGCTGGTGAGCTAATTCAAATTCGTATCCTAGCCCTGCTTCTTCAACTATACGTATACCTTTCGTCTTTTAAACGCACTCTGCAGACATCACAGCAATTCTGCCTCAGCTGCCAGCTGCACTAACTTATATACCTTTGGGACAATTCATTTCCAAGTGATGTCAGGTTATTCCATTTTCAAGGGTGTGTTCTATTACGTTTGCATTGTATTAACAGGTTATGGTATATTATCATTTGTAAGCTAGATTTTTGTTACGCTTGATCAGACCTATTTCATTCGAGTTCGTTCTAGGAAAAAATCTGGCTCCGGGATCATGAAACTGTCTTAAGTCTTAAGTCAGACTTAACTCCAAAAAATTTGCACTTAAAATTTAAGATTGTTCTTAAAGTGGATCACAAAAAATGACTTAGAGTTAAGATTGGCATTTTGTCTTAAATTTCAAGACTGCTCATGGGCAGACTTAAGTTTTAAGATTGATTTTAAGTTCTTTCAAAATGGCCGCTGTTGTTGGTTTCTTGAGACGTGTTCAAGGGGGAAATGTTGATACTGTCCGGCGAAGACGGCGTCACCCTCGCCTCACGCTTTTCAGGGATCGGTTGAATCCACTGGACCTCCGAACAGATGACGAGTTGTTCGAGAGATATCGTTTTCGCCGCCCTACGATAATGTTTATTTACGACACCATTCAGGACAGAATAACCCATCCTACCAAGAGATCGTTGGCCCTTCCAGCGATGATTCAGCTGCTGGTTTTCCTCCGGTTTGTGGCTACGGGGGCCTTCCATCAACTTGTGGGGGGTGCCATCCACATCTCCAAAGCCACGATAGGACGATGCATCCGCAGGGTGGTATCTGCAATAGCGAATGTTGCTGGCCGTTTTATTCGCTTTCCTTCTGGACAGGATGCCACCAACGTAAAGAGAATGTTTCATGCTATAGCAGGTGAGAATCCATGGCTTTTCACTTACACCTTCGCATTGAAAACAAACAACAGCGCCCCCTTGAATCAGTAAACACGTTTCGTTCTATAAGCATTTCGGTTCTACCTTTTCGACCCCAATCTCAAGTCACTGTTTTAAATGCATTTATGCATTTATGTATTTCTTACATCTAAGAAAAAAATAAGGATCCCTCGAACATTATCAATTGTAATCATTATATATGTGTGTGTTTTAGTGAGTGTGTAGTGTTACTAAATTACATGTATATATACAATATGTGGCAGAAAAGGAGGATGGGTGGGGGGTAACTCCAAAATCAGTCATATTGTATATTGAAATCTTTACTATTCTACTCTTTATAACTTTATTATCATGTTCAGTAAAGAATTAATCCTATTTTGATATGTTCATAGCTATAACCTTTGTATGATTTTAAAAATAAAAAGGGAATCAGATATCATCAAAAGGTATATATATTTACTCACACAAACAAATTGAAAACTTATGATATTTGCTGCTATTGGCCTGATGAAAATATTAATCTATGAAATCTATTTATTGTAGGGTTCCCTGGTGTCTTGGAATGTGTTGATGGTACTTTTATCCGCATCCAAACTCCTACTGAAAATGAGCCTGATTATGTGAATAGAAAAGGATATCATTCTTTAAATGTCATGGTAATTGTTTTTTGATTCAAAATGATTTTAAATTAAAAAAAAAAACATTAAAAGAGCTAAATAAGCTTTCAATGATTTAAATTTAGAAATAAAGTAGGCAATAAATCCGCTTATATGTGAATCCATCACAATCATTGACTTTAAAGATAAATAACATGCATGTATTATGAAAATTAAATTTACAAAGAATAAATTAATGTTTAATTTGAGCATATTTTAGATGACCTGTGATGCTAATTTTATAGTGACCAACTGTGTTGCCAAGTGGCCAGGATCTTGCCATGATTCAAGGGTTTTCCGAGAAAGTGTTCTCTGTCAGCAGTTTGAGAATGGTAAATAATATCACATGCACTTAATTTTAACTGAATTTTGATGGAATATTATTACTTAACTGTGATATTCCTATATCTCCCTGAAGATATATATGTAATAAGTATAAGAAAAATATGGTAAATAAAACAAAACTAAATAAGGAACAGGAAAAAAACTGTATTGTTTATCAGTAATTATATGTACTAACATAAAGTAGATTTAAGGTATTTTTTTCAAATGATAAAGTCATATGGCCCATAGGGGCCAGACAATAAACACAATTTGAGTTTTAGTATATGTACATGTAGTTAAAATATTTTCAACATCTGCTGAATCATACTGAAGTCTTTGTCATTTTGCTTTCCAGACCTTTTAGTAATTCTGAGTTGTTGTTTTTTAATATATTAATTTCATGATTTTTCAGGTCAGCATAATGGTATACTTTTGGGGGACTCCGGGTACCCTTGTCGGACATATCTAATGACGCCTTACAACAATACCAATGATGTCAGGTACAGAGAGCGATACAACAGTGCACTGTGTAGAACACGAGTCCTTATCGAGCAGACATACGGCACACTAAAGAGAAGATTCCCTTGCCTTTCCATTGGCCTTAGAACAAGCCCAGAAAGAGCCTGTCAGTATGTAATAACCTGTGTTGTCCTGCATAACATAGGGATCCTGAGGCAAGATATTGTGTCCCTTGACCCACGTGACCTAATCATAGCTGGCCCAGATGTGGATGAGATCAATCACGGTAACAACAATGGTTTTGGATACAGAGAACTCATTGCCGGACAATGTTTTGATTACTAATTAATATCTCAGGCCATTCTCTTCTTAGTTCATGAGAAACTAGGAAAAAATAATAATTTTTAACTTGTTCAGTTCTTACATAATATACAATCATAATCACAAAGCAGAAGTCATTTATAAATTTATACTGCTTGCAGTTTACTTAATGTTAATTTAATATTAACAGTGTACTGTTGTTTCACTCTCTGTCCCTAGTACATCATTGGTATTGTTGTAAGGTTACAAACATACCATTACAATTCAGTATGTATCTGTCAGTGTGATAAATCATTATTATTAATAGTAACATTCTGTGTTCGTTTTAGCAATTATTACAACTACCAGTATATGAAATATATTTACCTTAATAGTTCTACCAGTATATGAACTTGTTATATTCCGTTATTTACATGTAGTTATAATAAGGAAATTTCCCTTTATTTGTGGTTCCTATTATATAAGATTTATGAAAACTGGAGTCCCCTTTAAGCAGCTTAAGGCTGAGGTTAAAGTAAGTCAAACTCAAAGGTCAAGGACATGAATTCAAAAGTGCCGGTACCCAAAGAAAGGTCTTGTAAAAATAATTCATGTGTGAATCATGAAAGCCCTAGCTAGCTATCACCAGCCTTCAGAAGTTATAGCCGAGGTGGGTTATTTTTATTAAAGATAGGTCACACTTAAAGGTCAAGGTCATGAGGTCATACATGAAAGAAAGGTCTTGTTATAATGAATATTCATCTTAGGGCATAAAAATTATTCCCTCTCTATATCTCATCTCATATTTCTTGAAAGCAGCAAGTGTCAATATGGATTGTCTTGCAGTGTAGTTTTTTTTTTTTTTTTTTTTTTTTTTTTTTTTTTTTTTTTGGTGCCACTCTGTGAGTCATTCTATGAGACACAGGATACTTATAATGAAAATAAAACAAATTTATTGCAATGAAAGCAATGATAATAATATGATTGCTTAACTTTCCTTCAACATTAACAATGCAGTAAAATATCAACTACCAACAAATGACACATGAGGGAAAAAATGCGTAACTTAATAATGTGAAAAAAAA